GTGAGGTGACATTTGAGCTGAGGTAAGAAGGTTGAGTAAAGAGTCACAGAGAATGAGAAGTGCAAAGGCCCTGTCATAGGCATGTTTGAAAAATGGAAGAAATATTACTTATATTGTATGTAATTAGAAAGAGTGGAATGAAAGGAGAATGAATTCAGGGACCCGAACTTAAAACATCATGCATGGTAGGAGCTGGGAATGTGCCTTAGTGGTAGAGTGCTTGCCTTGAGTGCATGAATCCCTAGGTTCAATTTCTTTTTTTTTTTTTTCTTTTTTTGTCGGTCATGGGGCTTGAACTCTGGGCCTGGGCACTGTCCTTCAGCTCTTCAGCTCAAGACGAGCGCTCTACCACTTGAGCTACAGCGCCACTTTCGGTTTTCTGGTGGTTTATTGGAGATAGGAGTCTCACTGTCTTTCCTGCCCGGGCTGGCTTTGAACCGTGATCCTCAGATCTCAGCCTCCTGAGTAGCTAGGATTACAGGCGTGAGCCACCAGCGCCTGGCTCCTAGGGTCAATTTCTTAGTACCACATACACAGAAAAAGCTGGAAATGGCACTGTGGCTCAAGTGGTAGGTACCAGCCTTAAGCAAAAGAAGCTCAGGGACAGTGCCCAGGCCCTGAGTTCAAGCCCCAGGGACTGGCAAAACAAATACCTTAAAAAACAAGCAAAAGATCATAGTAGGTTACACATAGTAAATACAGAAGTAATCAGATTTGGATTTTGTTTGTTTTAGACAGGAATTGCTACATAACCCAGTCTGGCCTGAAATTCACTACTGTATATATAGCTCAGTCTGACCTCAAACTTGACATGCTTTTGCCTCAGTGCTGGGATTACAGGTATGTATTAAACTATTCCACCCAGCTTTTTTTTTTTTTTTTTTTTTTTTAGATGGAGACTGGCTTTGTTGCCAAGGCTGACTCAGGGCCTTGTATGACTGATGCCCTACCATTTGAACCATACCTCCACTTCTGGCTTTTTAAAAAAGCTGGTTAATTGGAGAAGAGCATCTTGAGGATCTGTCTGCTGGCTCTGAACTGTGATTCTCAGCTTTAGCCTCCTGAGTAGCTAGGATTATAGGTATGAACCACAAGCATCTGGTTTGAATATCTTTTTAAAGCACAAAGACTGGTTTCAGGAGGTCTTTATAGAAGTTGAGCAATGGTGGTGGTCTTGACTAGGTTGGAAATGAAATCTATGGAGAAGACTAAGAAGCTCAGAGAGAAAACTAGAAATGGACAGATCTAAGTGATAGATTAAACATGGTTTCGGGTTGAATGACTAAAAGCTGAAGTATGACTTCTGGATATCCCAGAGGATACACAGCTGTCTGTCTACACACAGGTCTTAAGAAGAGCCATCTAATGCTGGGCGCTGGTGGCTCCCACCTGTAATCCTAACTACTCAGGAGGCTGAGATCAGAGGATCACAGTTCAAAGCCAGCCCAGGCTGGCTCACGGACTTTACTGCCTGGGCTGGCTTTGAACTGAGCTCCTCAGATCTCAGCCTCCTGAGTAGCTAGGATTACAGGCATGGGCCATGGGCGCTGGGCTTCCATGAGACTCTTATCTCCAATAAACCACTGGAAAACCAGAAGTGGCACTGTGGTTCAAGTGGTAGAGCACTTACCTTGAACTGAAGAGCTTAGGGACAGTGCCCAGGCCCAGAGTTCAAGTCCCATGACCAATCAAAAAAAAAAAAAAAAAGAGCCATCCATGTCTTAGTCCATTTTATCTCTTTTCTATTGGTCCTGGGCCTTGAACTTAGGGCCTGGGCACTGGCCCTGAGCTTTTTTTTTTTTTTTTTTTTTCCTTTTTTTCCTCAAGACTAGTGCTCTGCCACTTGAAACACAGCTCCACTTCTGGCTTTTTGGTGGTAAGGAGATAAAAGGTTCATGGACTTTGCTCCCATGATCCTCAGATCTCAGCCTTCTGAGTAGCTAGGATTAAGGGCATCAGCCACTCAGCTCATTTTCTGTTATTATGACAATACCACAGACTGGGCAAATTAAAAACTATAGAAATTCATTTGACTCATGCTTCTGGAGGCTAGAAGCCCAAGAGTCTGCTGCTAGTATCTGGTGAGGCCTTGTGTGACACTGTAACATGGTGGGAAGACAAGCAAGCCAGAGAGGAATTGTCTGGGACCCTGGACTAGTGAGATTTGCTCCTGTGTAATAGATTAATCTAATCATGAGGACTTAAGCTCCCACCTCTTACTGATGTCCCAGTGGAAATTAAATTTCAACATGAGTTTTGGAGGCATATTCAAGTCAAAGCATCCGGTCTCTGGGGACACTACCTTTTAGAATAGTTGTATGTGGGTAATTAGAGTCATGGACACTCAGGATGGAATGAAGGATAAGTAATGCTGACCCCAGCAGAGTGGACTAAGGAGGTAGGACCCAGATAAGTCTCCTCTGGGAGGCCACCATGTTGGTGATTATAGAAGACTAGTTCCTGGGTAATAGCAGAAACATTTTGTTAGTTTGGCCCAAATAAGAAAGGGCTTGGGGTGGGGTTCTTGCATAGAACCAGGGGCTTCAGCCTTTGGCTATTATAGAAACCTAGTTCAGGCCTGCACAGAAAAGGTAGTCCCTTAATTCAGACAGCAAATCGTCTTGTCCCAGTCACTTTCCATCAGAGGTCAGAAGTAGGAAAATCATGTCCAACCTTGGGTGGAGCTAAAGCTTCAAGTGGGAGGGCTCCCCTAAATCTCCCCGATAAGCTGTACACCAGCCAGGAAGGCCTGCACACCCAGGGTGAACCCTTGACCCTGGTAGCTCCTCACCTTCCATTTCCTAAAACCCAGCCCTCTGGGTAAAAATGTTTTTGTTCTTTAACTCAGCAGTGGTCTCAGTGGCTGTCAAGCCAAGTAAAGAAACTGAAGATGAATTGGCAAAGTACAAGAGTAGTAGCACAGAACAATGTGAAGGTAGGTTGCCTGCTAAACTTTTTTTTTTAAATAAGTTTTTCTATTGTGAAAATACTGTACAGAGGGGTTACAATCATGTGAGCAAGGTAATGAGTACATTTCTTATCAAACATTGTTGCTTCCTCCTTTGTTTTTCTATCTCCACAATTACAATCCCCCCCCCCTAAACTTTTTAAGAAATAGGAAAACAGGAAGATGGTTATAGAAAAGGTTAAACAAGAACCAAGTGTCAGTAGTTCATTCCTGTAACCCTAGCTACTCAGGAGGCTGAGATCTGAGGATCATAATTCAAAGCCAGCTTGCATAGAAAAGTCCAGAAATACCAGAAAACTGGTGCTGTGGCTCAAAGTGGTGTAGCACTAGCCTTGGACAAAAGCCCAGTCCGAGTTCAAGCCCCAAAACTGAACAAAAAAGAAAACAAGCCTGCTTCAAGTTATCCTAGATCAAATTTGTTAGTTATCCCTGCCACTCACTTTCACTTATTCCAATGACCAGGCAGCACACAAACCTTTGTTTTTTTACTTTATTATACAAAAAAAGGGGAAACAAAACTTCCACAGTTGGCCTTAAGCTTAGGCAGACACCTCTAAGCCACTCCCTCCCACCTCCCATGATACAAATTCAAGTGTGGTTGTTGTTGAAACCTACAAAACACTCCTTAAATATTAGAAAAAAGGGGGTGGGGAATGGGGATCTTCCCACCCCAGCCATCCTGTCCCAGTGCCAAAATGCACTCAGAGCAACCTCTTACAGCACCAACGCCCCCACCCCCGTGGCCCTGTTTATACTGTAAGAATTTTTCAGTTTTTAGAACAGGGAGAAAAAAAGCATCCTGTTCATGGTTTTTTTTTTTTTTTTTAATGAAAACACATTCCACTAAAATATAATAGTGCAGGGGCATTCAAATAAGGAAATAGGGTTCTCTGTAGGGGCTCTCAGGAAGAACCAGAACCTGGAACCTCCTGTACCTACTTCCAAGATCAGGATGTGAACAAGAGTGGGGATTGTCCCTCCCTAGGCCTCCCCAGACCAGCACCATAGTCCAAGCCAGGACAAATGTGTGCTTTGAGAGATCCACAGCTGACTGGAGACCCTCATCTTCCTATCCTACCACTCTGGTAAAGGCCCCCCTTCCCCCATTCCTAGCTTTTCTTTAGAGGAAGGTTGAAAAGCACAAAGCCCCAATTAAATATGCTGACATGATTGTAAAAAGAAAAATAATAAGTTTTGACAAGTCTAGTAAAAAATAAAAAAATTTAAAACCCACAGCGCTAAGGTGGCTTGGCTTATTAGGAATCAGGGGATTGGGGTACAAAAAGCTTGGGATGATTGGCAGGGGTCAGAGAACAGTTACAGAATGTACTTTCTGCAGCCCCTCCCCAGCTAGGGAGGGTGGAGGGGATAGGGAAGAGGGGAGCAGACCTGAGAAATCAAAGGAAATGGGAGTGGGTTGAGGATAGAGGGGAAGGTGGTTAAGGACATGTAGGTAAAAAAATCCAAAGATACTTCCTGAAGCCCAGTTCCTGGGCCCAGGGTGGCCAGGTTGCTCCTCTAGTCAACTGGGAGGCCTTTCCCACAAAAGAAAAGCTTTAAGGTTCAAAACATTTACCCCTTCCCACTGGCCAGATGACAGGGACCGTAGCAGCTCAGATGCACATGGTCCTGGCAGAGGCAAACTGGTATAGGAAGCATCAGGTGGCTTTAGTTCCCCTCCCCACAATGGAGCCAGGAACCAGGCAACGCAGAGGATGTGTGGGAAGGGATGGCCTTGGCCTGTTGCTGCCAGGGTCACTATCTCCCTGCCCTCACCAACCCTTTTTCCAGATTCACGAACACTGAGGTGGGCTCCAGGACAGACCCCCTTCTTACTCACACACATACATACACACACACACGTACTCGGATAGACTCACAGATGCACCCATGTTATGTACAAGACATACACACATTCTCTCTCTCTCTCTCACACACACACACACACACCAGGATCATTTTAAAAAAGTCCCAAACCTACCCCCCTAAACCCTCCCTCTCCCAGAAATGACAACAGAGACGGCAGCCGAGATCGGTAGGAAACGTCTCGTTGACAGCTCAGAGCTTAAAAAAAAATATATACACATATATAAAAAACACTCTGCCCCCTTCCCCATGAGCAGGTCCAGGCGGCACCTTCCTGCAGGGCAGGGGAGAGCGCCATCAGGGCAGCGCCCGTTTTTTCAAAGGCACCCACCCTCCTCTCCCTCAGTCCCTGCCTCCAGTTCCAATGTAGAGGTCCAGGCAGCAGGCCCTCTGGGAAGGAAGAATCCTCCCCAATCTTCCATCCCACCTTGGTTTGGACTGCAAGTGTGGAGGGCCTCACTGAACTCTTTGGGAGCCCCCCCCCCTCCAATCCCACTCTGGGTCCATTGTCCATGCCGGAACCGCAAGTGCAGCAGAGGGGGGGGAGGGAGTAGGGTTGGGTGGGTTGGGTCGGTCCAGTGCTGGCTCAGTCTGATGGTTGCTGTCCCTGGAGGATCCCAGGGTTGATGGCTCCAAGGCTGCAGAGTCCTAGCCTGAGTTCCTCCAGTCCCCTACCCCCACCATATTTTGTTTAAAAAAAGAAAAAAAGAAAAAAAAAAAAAAAAAGAAGTGGGGGAGGCCAGGGGCAGGGACAGAACATGGGGGGAGACATAAGTGGTCAGCTGGGGAGGGGGACTCTGGGGCTCTCCCTGGCCACCTGGGGAGCTGAGCCTCAGTTGGAGTCAGAGTCTGAGGAGTCCCCTGAGGAGGAGGAGCTGGAGCTGCTGCCCTCAGACTCGTTGTCTTCATCATCATCCTCGTCCTCATCATCATCCTCATCCTCATCGTCCTCCTCATTCTGGGGGAAGGAAGGGTATGCCGTTATCAGATGGCTCTCTTTGGGGGAGCCCCCCCCAAACATGTTGTGTTTACTCTACCTCATCCCCATCCTCGCTCTCGTCCTCGCTGCTGGACTCTGAAGAGTCCCCACCATCCTCAGAGGAGTCTCCATTCTCATCATCTTCCTCTTCGTCATCATCATCCTCATCATCCTCATCCTCTTCATCATCCTCTTCCGACTCCTGAGAGGTAGAGGTCTATCAGGGATCTGGGGTGCCTGAGGCTCTGCTGTATAGACACCCCAGAGGGGCTTCTTACCGACTTGGATTGCAGGGCAGTCCGGCTAGACTTGGGGTTCGGGCCTCGCAACTTGGTCATGCTCTTTCTTTTCTGCAGTAGAGGATAGGGATAGAGAGAGGGAAAGCTGTGAGTTTCAAACCCTGGAGTTTCAGAACCCCACAGCCTGCTACTGCCCTGTTTCCACACTCACATTGGAGATGTATTCTTTATATGCTGCACGGTCCTGGGGAGATAGACTCTGGAAAAAGAGGAGAGCTGGTGTTAGAATGTTCTCTAGACAGGGCTGGGAAGGTAGCTCAGTGGTAGAGCGCTTGCCTTGCATGCCTGAGGCCCTGGGTTCGATTCCTCAGCACCACATAAGCAAAAAGAAAAAAAGCCAGAAGTGGTGCTGTGGCTCAAGTGATAGGGTGCTAGCCTTGAGCTGAAGAGCTGAGGGACAGCGCCCAGGCCCAGAGTTCAGGCCCCATGACCGGACCCCCCCAAAAAAAGAATGCTTTCTAGACTACTGCTGGCTCTATGTGCTCACTCTCCATAAGCTTGTCACATTTGGGGTCTCAGAATACAGCTCCAATCTCAGCTCCTGCCACAAGAGTTGGTCTCTGAGCCACCCTGTACTAAGATGGTTTTTGTTTCTCCAGTTGCTGGAGGCTCTTCAGTCAGGGGGCCTTCTTCAATTCCCAAGTTCCCCATCATGACTCACTCCTCAACTGGAGCCACTGATGAGGCTGTGGGGGCTAGATAAACTTGTGAACATCTAATCCTCACTGTCTCTCTAGATCTTTGGCCAATCTACTAGGTAGCTGGGGAGGACACTTTATGGATTTGACTACAACTAAGGTACAGAAGGAAGCTCAGAGAAGCCATGACAGAACCTCTGAGAAGTCTCCTGGTACCAACTGGAAGGCAGCTGATTTGAATTCTTTTTTCCTTACTCTGTGACCCAGAGGAAATTTCTTAACCACTCTGAGCCCTGGTGTCTTTTTTCTTTAAAAGTTTGACAGTAACTGTTTCCCATATGACGCTGCAGCACCAAGGAAATTATGCAAGAGTGCTAACCAGCAGGCTTCCCTCTCCCTTCTGGGTCCCTTATCCTCTCACCTTGACCCAGAGGTCCAGGTGCACCTTGTACTGCTTCTGCTGTTCCTCGGCCAACTTTTTGTAGTGCTCCTTCTGGCTCTGGGAGATGCGCTGCCAGCGGCTACCAATCTCCACCATGCGTTCCTTCAGCGGCAGATGGTTCAGTTCTCCATTGGACAGCAGCTCCTGGGAGAACTTCTGATAACCGTTCCTACACAGGGTGACACAGGGAAGGTCAGAAGCTCAGACAATGCGCCCTCAGCCTGGCCCTCCACACCAGGGCAACTCTAGCTCTGGGCTCACATGGGAGGCTTCTTGGGTTCTCCCTGGAACTTCATCTTCTTGGAAGAGTTTGTAGCAGCTGAAGGTGCCCGCATCTCACTCAGCTCTCTCTGTGGGGATACCAGGGAAGATTATATTTACAACTTCTACTGTATTATACCTTATCTGATTTTTTTTTTTTGCCAGTCTTGAGACTTGAACTCAGGGCCTTGAGCATCTGTGCTCAAGATTAGCACTCTACCACTTGAGCCACAGTGCCACTTCCAGCATTTTCTGTTTATGTGGTACTGAGGAATCAAACCCAGGGCTTCATGGATGGTAGGCAAGCACTCTACCACTAAGCTACTTTCCCACCCTTTTTTCTATTCTTGGTCATAGGGTTTGAACTCTGGGCCTGGGCACTGTCCCTCAGCTCTTCAGTTCAAGACAAGCACTCTACTACTTAAGCAACAGGACCACTTCTGGTTTTCCGGTGGTTTATTGGAGATAGTCTCATGAACTTTCCTGCCCAGGCTGGCTTTGAACCGCAATCCTCAGATCTCAGATGCCTGCCCCCCCTTTTTTTTTTGTCGGTTGTGGGGCTTGAACTCTGGGCTTGGGCGCTGTCCCTGCGCTTTTCAGCTCAAGGCAAGCACTCTACCACTTGAGCCACAGCACCTCTTCCAGTTTTCTAGTGGTTTATTGGAGATCAGAGTCTCACGGACTTTCCTGCCTGGGCTGGCTTTGAACTGTGATCCTCAGATCTCAGCTTCCTGAGTAGCTAGGATTACAGGTGTGAGCCATTAGTGCCTGGCTTTTTTTTTTCTTTTTTTTTAAGTGCTGGGGAATTGAACCTATGGTCCAACCATGCCAGGCAAACTATCACTGAGTCACACCTGCAGTAGTTCTTCCTTTTATGTGCCAGAAAGGAAATTTAGATGCACAGCCAAGGAGCAACTACCTAACTTGCAATTGTGTCAAGCAATATCTTTTCAAAGTGTTTCCAGCATTGAACTCACAATCCTCAATAATAACCCTGGAGGCTAGTACAGTCATCCCATTTTAGTAATGACAGACTGAGAATCTGGGCAGGAAGTTAAAAGACTGGATCAGGGTCAGGCTGAGATTTCTGGCTCTGAGCCTAGTTGCTAGTAGGGCAGTTGGCCCAGCCCCTTCCCACCTCATATCGCTTTTGGTCTTCAGCTGCCTTCTTAATCCACATAAGTTTTTCTTTCTTTTCCATATTGTTCCAGGTCATCTCCATGGCTTTCAAGGCTTTCACCCGGTCATTCTGAGGACAGACAAGGTATCAATTATAGGAGGAGTCATTTTGGGCTAGAAGCTACAAAGAATCACTTTCCCATACGCTGCCACCTTAAAGCGCGCCAGGTAGTCGCCAATGACACTCTGTTGCCAAATCTCCTCGGCTCTCTTGGGCGACTCCGGTAGCTTGCCCCGCTCTTCACGCTCACTGCCAGGCTTCCTTTCCGACTGTGCCTTCAGTGCAGCTTCGCGAGCCTTGTACTTGGCCTGCAGAGATGTCACGGGCGTTATGCCTGCAGACCAGCCCTAGGGGGCGCGCCAAGCTCACCCAGCCCAGCAGCTGCTTGCAGGGCTCCGGCTGGGAGGGTGGGGCCAGCAGGGGCGTGGGCGGCGCAGATGTCCCTGTCAGCTCTGCTCTGCCCCGCCCACGGGCTCCCCGGGGAGCCAACAGCCCTAGCTGACAGCTTCCCGCCTTCCGGCTCGCTGGGCTCTGGCCCAGCATCTGTGCCCAGTCACACGTGTGGGGCACACGGGGCAGGGGAGGCCACGCAGCTGCCGGCAGAAAGGAAGGGGCCCCAGTGGCCCCTTGAGGGACACTGGTGCCTGGGGTTGGAGGGAAGAGGGTGGCAAGCCTGACCTTCTTTTTCTCAGATAAGTCGTTCCACATGCGGGCCAGCAGGCGGGTCAGCTCGCTTTCAGAGAGTTCAGGCCGCTCCTCCTGCAGCTGCCTTCGCTTCTCCTCTGAGAAGATGAACATGGCCGACACAGGCCGCTTTGGCTTCTCTGAGCCGCCCTGGGGAGGTGCAGAAAGGTCAGGATTCCTTGCCAAAGCCCTAGGCCCATCCTGCCTGGCTGCTCTGACTCACTCACCTTGCCACCTTCCTGGGAGGGCTTCTTGGAGGCTGGGCTGGTGGTCTGCTTCTTATTGATGTTTAACATCTTCTCCTCCCCTAGGACCCGCTGCTGCTCCTCCTCAGGCAGGCTCTGTTTGGAAAGTGGGTATCATTCTGCACCCTGCTGCTCTCCAGTTTCTCACCTAGTTGGGCTTTGCAGCCAAACCCATCTACTACCCGGCCTGAGCAACACCCACCTCAAGGAAACGGAGGAGTTCCACTTCATAATCCTTCTTTTTCTGGGAAAGTAGGAGAGTCAGGGTCAGTTGTGCACAGCCTCACCAAGGGCTCAGTACTCAGGGACAGTAACCCCAGGGCCTTGGTGTGGACTGCTCTTCCCCAAAGATGGTAGGCAGGAGGCTGGACTGTCTTGACAGGCCAGGATGGTAAACCTAACATGCCACCATGTCAGAAGCAGTTGACAAAGGAACATACAACCTGTGATCAACTGGGGGTCAGACTTCAGGCATTTAACTCTCAAGGCAGGACCCAAAGATGTCTGTAGTACTCCCTGCCATACATACCTGATCACACTTCTTGTGATAGGCGTCCTTCTCCTTCTGGGAGAGCAGCTTCCACTGCTGGCTGCATAGCACCATGCGCTCTGTGCTCGGCACATCCTTCATGTTGGCCATGAGCTCTGCACAGTACAGTGAGTAGCTATTCCTATCAGAATTGGCAGAGGCATACTTGTTAGCAAAAGGGCCTCTTTGCTGTATTCTGCGCCTTGTCCTTTACTAGCCCCACTCCCTAGCTGTCCACTTGCCCACCCACCCACTCGGGGCAGTGCTCACGGAGGTGGCTTGGTGGGTCGCCCATCAAACTTGTCCTTGAGCTGGCGTTCAGCCTTGGTGAGGGTGGACTTGGTGATGCCCTCCTCACTGATGTTCAGCTCAGGGTGCTTCTGGATATAATCACGCATAATCTCCTGCAGTGGGGTGGGGGGGTGGAGGGTAATGGGGTGTGGGGTTAGCTGGGGCAGGGGAAGGGGGAGAGCCGCTGGGGAGGGGAGGCAGGGAGCAAAGCTGGGGGATGGCTGTGTGTCTGCTGTCACATGTGACACGGTGCCCTGCCCTGCCCTGCCCTAGCCTGAGATCTCATGGGGTGGGGGTGGGGGAACAAGGAGAAAGTAGGGGCAGAGGTGAGGGGCCCAGAAGGCCCCCTCCCTCAATGGAGGGCCAGGAGTGACTGCCATCCACAGAGTGCGGTGGCACCGAGTCAGAGGGCAGAGGCTCTTGAAGAGCCGGATGGGGAGGAGCGCAGCGGAAGCCTAACCTCGTACTCCTTCCGCTGCTCCAGGGCCTTATGAATCCATTTCAGCCTCTTTTTGTCCGAGAGCTGAGACCACTGCTTCCCCAGGGAGTCCTTCACCTCCTTCGTAGTGGCCTGCAAACCAAAAGCCGTCAGACACACACAGGCAGCCAGGGGCAGGGAAGGAGTGGGGGGGCACAGAGGCCCCACCCCCTCGGGCCACAGGGGGTCACATGAGTGTCCCCCACAGGCCAGGAGGGGAAGGCAGAGGCAGGGATCCCACCTGGGTGCAAGGGAGAGGCTCACACACGCACACGCACTCACGCCAGCTGGCCCAGGCCCTGTCCATGCAGTCCCCCCCCCTGGGGAGGGGCCTCCTCTCCTGCTCCCCTGGACCATGCCCGGCCACCTGGCGCGGCTCCCCCCTTGCCACCACCATATGCCGCCACCCCTGCCCCTTGGCCAGACACTCACATCTGGCCGTACTTTGAGATACACTTTCTTCTCATGAGTGTACCACAGCTGCTGGGGGGTTTTGGGCTTCTCAGGGATATCCGACTTCTTGGCATTCTGGATAAGGTCAGGGTGATCCTCCCTAGCCAGGGCACAGGAGCAAGGGTCAGCAGGGGACACTGCTGGGGCAGACCCAAGCTGGCCACCCCACCCACCAAACTTTCCTCACTGGGGCTAGTAGATTAGGGAGTGGCTAGCTGCCTGCTCTCCCCTAAGCAAGATACATTATAGTTTACAAAGGACCCATCCATCTTCCGTGCCTCATCAAGGCCAGCTTCAGTCTGCAGCCAGTTGTCAAGCCTTTTCTGCTGTACCCAGCGCCCGGTGCCCTCTGCTGGGCTCCACTGCCTTACCTGAATCGAGCCAGGTTTCTCTCGAACTCCTGTTTCTCCCTCTGGAAGTCCTGAATATACTTCATCTGGGGGGAGGAGGGGATGGGGTCATCCAGGACCCAAGGCCTACCTCACCTAAAGCTACAAAAGCTACCTTCCTGTTTTGTGGACATGTGCCTACCAGTGTTGGTTGGACATACACTAGACCTGGTGGCTGAGAAGTATTACAAGGGCCTCTCAGACACAGAATACTATATTCTATTCTCTCCTAAGAAAGAGTCCAGAGGGGGATAGTGTGTTACATGGCAGTGGCAGGACTGAGACCTCCAAGCCTTTCTGATACCACAGAGCTCTGTTCATGAGGAGTCTGGTGGAGACCTTGCTCATGCTTTCTCTGTAGTGTAGCAACTGATATTGGTCACCCATAAGTGGTGGCTGAGTCCTGCTTTCAAGGAACTGTATTGACAGGACACAACGAATTCACAATGCAAACCCCATCCCATTAGATCTCTCTGGAATTTGGGGTCTCTTCCCCATCCACTGGCTGAGTCTCCAAGTGGCCTAGGTATTCCTTCCCAATTCTATCTCCACCTCTTCCTGTCTCAGCTTCCTCCAGGCTCCTTGAGTACATCACTTGCCTCCCCCCAACACCTCCTGCCTACCACTTGACTCCTACACAACTTGCTCCCCATTTACCTCCTCCCACTTGTACCTCCTTTTCCACTCTTTTCCTTCAAGTAACTTCCTGTCCTGGCTCCCACTTAAAAAATGTGCATTTTCACCTTCCCTCTTTTTTCCAGGGTCACAAGAGTATCACTCTAAGGGGCCAGAGGCTCATAGTAATCAAGCCCAACTCTTGCTTCTAACAACGGCAGCAGGTGCAGAGGCAGAACACTTTCTCCTGTGATGCCCACAGAAAAACACCAAAGCACAGCCTAGCCTCCTCTGCCTCATAACAGCAGTGTTTAGAGCTAGAAGGTACTTTAGATGTGGCTCACTCTGGACAACCCAGAGACCAGGCACAGAGAAGTGATTTACCAAAGTCCCCTCCCTTTCCCCCCAACACACAGGAATTTGGTGACAGCCTGTATGCCCCAGGTTATCCCATCCAGTCTACCAGTTTCTGTCTTCCCGATTCTCAGATCCTTTGCCTTTAGTATCTCCCTCCCATCCTATGAGTGTTTGGTGGATACAGCCACTATCCCGTGTTCTCATTCACTAATGGGGTCACCTGCAGCTATAGCAGTTAATGATCCTGTCTGACTTGAGCCCCAGCCACAGATGGCTGCTTTTACCAAGCTGAGCTGGCTCCATTCTGTGTTTAGCACCAAAGGCTTTTGAGTCCCCAGTCAGAGTGCATGAACCAGGATAAAGGGCAACTTGGTGTGGTGGTTGGTCCCACTTTTTGAGCATTATGTACAACTTTGCCTCCACTCCTAGCCAACGGGTCTTTTGGTCTTTCCTACTGTCCTTTACCAACTTCTCTCCCTGGCTCCATCTCACCACCCAGCAATTCTGTCATGTCCATCTCTTTTCTCAACCGATCTCATGCTCCATCTGCAGGACTGCTCCAGTGTTTTGGTACCTGTCTCCTTAACCTGTGTCCACCTCTGCCTGGGAGGCTTAGAGCAATTTCTCCCCAAGGTTAATCACCTCTGACAATCTGGACGGTATTTTGCTTCTGTAGGGAACTGATACTGAAAAGAACACAGTGTGTCCTTGTGCATGACAAAGCCCACTTAAAATAGGACCCAGCAGTGAGCACTCAACAGAAGAGTCTGGGGTACCAAGGCCTAACTGCTATTCTAGCATCATTAGTTATATGACCATCTCAACCATCTATGCCTCAGTCCCCTCCCCACTAACATTAAAATAACCCTCTTTTGTGGGGCTGCATGTATGAGACTATCATAAGCATTACATGAGAGCATGAGGGGAATGTTGCAGCAGGCACAGAACTGCAGCACAGGCTCACAATGCAGATGCATGTATGGAGAAGAGCGGCTTTGAGTCATGGCAATGGCTGTGTAGTATGTAAAGTTGGTGTGATCACTTGGTTGGGCTGTGCCTTCATGTGTGATGGTACCTTAGTGACCATGTGTAGACCTGGCAGAGTGCTACTGGGGGTGGCTCCCAACATCCTACTCTGCTATGCTGACTTACTAACATCCCTAATACCAAGTCCTTTTGTCTAAGGCTTATCCTCCATACCCATCCAAACCAGTGACTCTCAGCCAAGAGCAGCAGCATCCCTCCTCCCCCCCTATGCCCCCCTCCCCCCACCTTCTTCTTCTCTGGAAGCTCCTTGTATTTCTTGGACAGAATCTTGGTCAAGTCCAGGTTGCTCATCTCAGGGTGGAGTTTCGCATACTTGGCCCGCTTCTCCATGAAGAAACGGAAATAAGGGGTCAGGGGCTTCTTTGGGAAGTCTGGGTGTTTCTGGAAGGTTAGAATAAGGACACGACAGAGGTCAGACATCATCTATTCTTTGGTTTATTCCTCCTCTCGCCCTCTGTGCTCCTCTTCCTGGTAACTCACCTTGAGTTTTTTGCCTTTGTAAGGATTTTTAACATGTTCCTGAGCATCGAGGATCAATTCTGTCAATGTACGGAACTTCCTTACCTGGAAGAAGGGAAGTGAGGGAAAAGCAAAGTTAGGAAATACTATTCTACCAGGCTTCACTATTCACCATGCCTAAACTTACCGAAGCCAACAGCCCACAATGCAGTAAGCCACTGACACGCAGGCATTGACTCAGAGGCCCAGGCAGTCAGGACACACCAAAGGACAGCCATAAGAGATTTCCTGACTTCAGTGTGGTTCCCCTAGTAGCAACTCCACTCAAGTCCCAGAAGAACTTAGACAACAGAAGCCCCCAGATATGAATATTCTAAGGTACCTAGATAGGATGTGACAGAATTTGAGACCCCTGGGCCAGTGCTATCACCTGTGCCATATCCTCACATAAGGCCTATGTTATGAACACCCCTCCCAGGTTCTTTACATCTTGTTCACAGAACTGTCTCATCTCCCCCAGGAAGGCTGAGATAGGGGTATGGGTAGATGTGTATTCATGTGTGTCAAAAGGGAAATGAGGTAGGTGGGGATCATTTACCTCATTAGAAATCTCCACCCATTTCAGCTTGCACATGTCTCCAGAAAAATCCTTAAATGCTACTTTTTCCCAGTCCATATGTGATTCGGTGGTTTTGAACTTGGAGCTGTCATTGGATGGAAGGTTGTTCTTCATGCATTCCAACAGTGTTAGCATGTCTTCCTGGGACCAGCGGTCTGGTGAGGGGTGAGAGTCCATCACACCTACTGCACGTCATCCTCCTCATCTGCTCCCAGTACCTGAATGTTCAAGCTTTCTTTCCCAGAGCCCCTGGCTGCTTCCCATTTGAACCAGGGTTTCTTTCCTTAGGCATGGCTCAGCTCTAAAAAAATCTAGATTAGGGTAGGGACTCTAGACCAGACAGCATCATACCTAGAAAGCCAGGTTCTTAACCCAGGTCTGACTTATTTCAAAGCTATTGTCATTTGAAACATGGCAGTATGCCATGGATCCCTATTTACTGAAGAGGGTAAGGGTAGCAGAGGGGGAAATGAAACTACAGGGATTAGGGGTTCTATAGGAGTTTGGCTTAGAGTAGACGGAGAAAGAAGATAACACATGTAAATGCGTTGCCAAGCTCAAGTCCATGTTCCAGGTAGAAACCCTAAACATGCAAGGACTGAGGATAGGTAGTAAGGAAACTCCACTGTCCACATAAGAACAGGTTGTTTTTTTGTTTTGTTTTTTTTTTTAAATCAGATTCAGAGGAAGAACCACACAGGGTAGCTTTGAGGAGAGGTCCAGCTGGTTAAAGGATCTCAGGAGCCTACTCCAAGAAGACCCCTCCCCCCCAACTCCAAGTTGCTTTCACAGCTCAGTTCTTCAGGGAGGTAAACAGGGGATCTGGACCAGTTATTTTCAGCCACGAATAAGCAGCCCCAAAGAGCTCTGTGCTTGGAGGGTAGCTGCCCTGGAAGGTGAGCTGGAAGAACAGCCATCCACTGCCCAAGTCACTTTCATATGCATCTGATAACCTGGACCAGGGTTTCTGCAGAGTGGATCACATTGACCCATAATCCTCTCTCCTCAATGCTCCCCATGCTTTACCAGATGCTCAGCTTCACTCTGCCTCCACCCCCATATACAGTGGAATTTTGCTGTATGAGGCACGGGTCAAACTACCTATGTAACTCCCACCTTAAACCACCCAAACACTCCTCCTTTTCCACCTGCCTCTCCTAAAACCCTTTCATTAACAACAAAAACATGAAAAGCCCTTCCAGGCCCTCTCCTCACCTTCCTCTCTACTCATCACCCTCGTACACGAGACACAAAATGTACTCAGGCTGCCTGGGAACCCCAGCAGAAAAGCTACCATAGTGTTTGTTCTCTGACCTCAGACACAGAAGAATGTGAAAACAATATATAGACTCGGGGTCAAATCATTTGGATTTGGCCAAAACACGCGTTGAGGGATTTTTGATTTTTGTAATACTCCAGACACCTTCTCCAGTTTCAGAGAAGGCAGACTGGAGGAGCCCTTAAGAAGGTGAGCCTTGCACATAGCCATGTGGGAAGGACTTTAAAGTTATAGAGGGCTGGGCCTGGGGGTGGGGAGCCCTGGGCGGGAGGCCCTACCTTGGCCTTTGGGGGCGGCCATTTCCAGGTCTGTGGGGCAGTCGGCTTCTCCGTTCATCCTCCAGCAGTCCAGCCACCTCCTCGGTCGCGCTGGCCGGGCAACCCGGGGTCAAATGCCACCTCACCCTTTAAAAGAGATACCAGTCTCTACTCAGGCAGGCTGAGAGAGGAACTATCTTGCCCCTCTCCCAAAAGGAGGGGGCGCAGGCCCACGTTCTCAGCAGAGCCAGCCTCAGACTTAAAGGGTCGGAGGTTGGAGGAGTGAGCCCCCCTCTTTCTGCCCATCCCACTTTTTGCAGCTGGGCTCGGCGGCGTGCGCCCTCCCCTGCCCACGCGAGAGACTGCTCCCAGCTCCCGCGTGCAGCTAGCGCCCGCCCTCCTTCCCCCACCCAGGCCAAAAAAAAAAAAAAAAAAAGAACTCCTCCTCCTCGGTGCGCCCGCCCCGGGGAGGCCCCAGGCTGGAGGGCGGGGGAGGAGGAAGGGCGGGTAAAGGGCGCGCGCGGCCATGGAAGCGGGCACGCGCCCCAGTCTCCTCCTCCCGCCTCCCCCCGGCCGGTTCCCCCCGCCTCCGCAACCCGGCGGGGACCCGGACGCAACGCAGCCGCCGCCAGCCCCGGAGCGCTGTGGCCGCACCGCCCCCGGGGACCAGATCCGGATTCCTGCCGCTACCCCCTCCCAAGCTCCCAGCGCCGTCTCCGCCCGCCCCGGCGAGCGAGCAACCGGAGAGAAGCGGCCTAGCCTGCCCCCCCGCCCCCGAGCTACCCACCCGGGCCAGCGGCGCTGCCACCGCCCAGCCACCCGGACGCGCACGGAGAAGCCCGGCGCAGAAGCGCGACCGCGGCGGGAACCGCCGCCTCCTCCCCCGAGCCTGCGGCCCAGCCCCGCCGGCGCCCCCGCCCCGGCCTCCGGGGAGCCGAGCCAAGGAGAGGGCGGGGAGGACGGCGGCCGGGAGGCGGGGGCGCAGCGCTCGCCGGCCCCGCCGCCCCCTCCGGCGGCCGGCGAGAACTGCGCCTGCCGGCTTGGGGAAGCGCGGGCTCCTCAGCCCGCGGCCGGGCCCGGCTCGGGCCTCGCTTCCTGCCCTTCCCTCCCCTCCCCCGGCTCTCGGCGCTCTCCGCAGTGCCCTGGTCAGCTTGCGCCCAGTCCCCTGTCGGGGATCGCCTCGGGTCCCCCGCCAGGCCTCCACAGCACCCACGGCTCTCCCCCTGTCGCCGGGCCCCAGCCCCCTGCCCCGACCCCAGCGCGCGTCCTCAGCCGCCTCGGTTACCCGGCGCAGCGCGGCCTCCGGGCTTCCCGCTCCGGCGGCTCCCTCTCCGGCTCTGAGCCGCGGCGCCCTCCCCCGCTTGGCCGGGCACAGCCGCAGCTCCCTCCCGCGGCGGCAGCGACTCCTCCTCCGGGCGCGGCGGTGGCGGCGCTGGGGCGGCGGCTGCTGCTGTTGCTGCTGTGGCGGCGGCGGCTGTGGCTGCTGCCTGCTGCTCCTCGCGGCGAAAAGCACAAAGCACAGCGCCCTCCGCCTGCAGGCAGCCCGCCCGCCGCCCGCCCGCCGGCCCCGGCCTCAGCTCGCACACCCCCCGCCGCCGCCGCAGCCTCCGCCGCCGGAGCGGGGAGGAGGAGGGAAAAGGGAGGAGGAGGAGCGGGAGGGGGGGCGGGAGAAGCGGGGCAGCGAGCGCGTCCTTCCCCGTAGAGCGCACACCGACCCCCGGGGAGCGAGCGCCAGCCCGCCCGCCTCGCCGGCTCCGCTCCCTCCCACAGCCTGCCCGGGCGGGCTCCGCGGGGGGCAGCTGGGAGGAGGGGCGGGAGCTGGGGGGACCCGGGCGGCCGAGGCGGAGGGAAGGAAGGAGGGGAGGGGGGTGGTGGTGGTGGTGGTGGTAGCGGTGGTGGTGGCGGTGGTGGCGGCTGCTTCTGCCGCCGCCGCCGGGGAAGGGAGGGGGGAGCCCGAGGCAGGGAGACACGCAGCCGCCCGGATGGCGGCGGGGCTCCGAGCCGAGGCGGGCGGGAGCCGAGAGCGACCTCGCCAGACCCGCGGGGGAACTAGCAGGCTTGGCCCGCCCGGGAGGGAGGGCCCCCAGGCGGCCGGGGAGGCTCGGGGGCTGCCGGCAGCCCCGCTCCAGAGCGCCCTTCCAGTCCCTCCCAAAGCTTACGTTGAGGCTTCCAGGCCAGTTCTCACCCACTCCCCACTTCCTGCCTCCTGGAGAGGCAGACCGGTCAGCGTCCACCCTTATCCCGGGAGCGTGGCCACCAGCCTGGGGTGCACGCACGCCGATCGCGGCGCCAGACTTAGGCGCCTACCTCGCGGTTCGTTAGCTGCCAAAAGACACCCAAGAAACTAAAAAAAAAAAAATTAGGCCCCCAAAACAAAAATCCCCTTTACTCCCTCCATCCTGGAAACGGCGCACCGCGCTCAGGGAGCTGGTTCAATCTAGCCCGGCATGGCTCCTCAGGCCTGCCCCGGCGCATGGAGATCGCGCCGCCGCCGCCGCTGCCGCTAGCGACCCCTCTCCCCCGAAATCCGCGGCACTGAAACTCTCTTACCGAGCGTACGGACAGAAGCGCGGGTCAGGGGTGTCTAGGGGTGCGGCGGGCCGAAGAGCCGAGCCGCAGCTCCGCCGCAGCTGACGCCGGGGCAGCAAGTCGCCAGACAAAGCCCGAGATGGCGAAGCGGAGCGACGGCTAATGGCGAGCCCCACGCGCCGCGCTCCGCCCGCCCCGCTCCGCCCGCCCGCCCGCCCGCCTGCCTCGGCGCTGCGCAGCGCCGCTCCGAGCGCTCGCCCGTCAGAGCCGCCTCGGCGCCGCCGCCTCCCGGGCCACCCGGGCCTCGCCTGGCCCCTCCGCCTCCTCGGGGTGGCTCAGCCTCACCCCTTCCCTCCCACAGCTCTGGGGGCTGCACGAAAAAAAATTTAAAAAGAGAAATGCTTTCCTTTTTTTTTTCCCCCCCTCCGAACGACATGTTGATTTTTTTTTTTTTTTTGCCCTCAGGTCGAACTCACCTGCGGAGCCACGGGTAGGGCTGGGGGTGGGGGCGCGCGGGGCTGTAGCCGGCGAGCGCGGGTTGAAAGCTAGCCAAGCTCTGCAGCGCCCGACCCGGGCGTGTACGCCGCCGCCAGTCCCCGCAGAGAAATCGTCCTCCTACCCCCGCCTCCATCGCTCTGCGTTTCTCTTCCAATCAGCCGGTCGCTTGGCGGCTCCTCCATTCTCCGGCCAAGCCCGCTTCCTAGAGCGAGCTCCACTCCTCCATCTGCTTGCCTGGCTCCTCGCTCCCCTGCCGGTGCGGGCGAGGCGGCTTGAGCCGGAGGGGGATTTGCGAGGGAACCTGCCTGCTCCCCGTCCCCATTGCTCCATCCCCGCTGCCTCCTGTCTCCTGCGGCTTTCCAACTCTCCCCTGTCGCCACTGGTGTGTGTCTGTGTGTGTGTGTGCGCGGGTTTTTTTTTTTTTTTCTTTTTTATTGCTCTTTGCTTTTGCAACCCTGAAGCCAGAGCGGGGAGGGGAGAACCAAAGGGAGGGTATTATAAAAAGGGAAAGAAAAAAAAAAAAGGCAAGAAAAAGCGTCTGGATTTGCAACATCGGAAGAACGGGGGAGCACCCCGCCTCGTCCGATCTCTGTGCCCCGCCAGGGCCTTCCGGGTTTTAGGCGAGCCTTTCCGCCGTTGTTCTCTGCCCTCCCACCTTCGTTGGATTTAGGATCCGAGGACTCCGAGCAAAAAGTTCCTCCCCAGCATCGTAGTGAAAGGTGTCAGTGTGGAAGTTGGGATCCCCCCCCCCCCCAAAGAAGCAGCAGCCATCCTACACCGGCTTCCATAACCGTAACTGGGCCGGGGTTGGAGTAAAGAGCCAAATCCCGATGGGTTTGTCTAAAGAAGCTTGGGGACGGAGAGGGGGGTGCGGGGGGGGGGGGAGCGCCACCCGGAGACGGAGCTTGGCGCATCTCCCCCTCGGTCTCTGCCTCCAGTGCCTTGCCAGCTCCCCCTTTTATTTTTACCCCCCTCTCTTTTAATCTAATTTCCTCCAACTCCACCTTTGTTGTTACCGGCGTCACGCCTGGATCAGCCAATCCCCGCCACGCAATTAGCTTGTCAAAAAGGCACGGCCAGCCTAGAGAAAGCAGGCCGCCGGCTCTGCCCCCCGGCGGCGGCGGGGATTCTCGAGGGGAGCCTGGCATCCCGGCCTGACCGCCGGAGCTGCGTTCCCGCAGCCTCCGTGTGGGTCTCCCGTAGTCCAACACCGTTCAGGCGAGAGAAGGAAAGGCCTAGACAGGAACCATCCTCCAGCTTCCCACTGTCATCAGCTGTAGATTGTCTTGGCTTTGCCTGCCCTTCTCAGAGGAAGGCTTTCAGGACAGGATCCGGGAGCCAGAAGTCAATGTGAAGGCCATTTGCTTCCAACAAGCCTAGGCAGCGCCATTGCTTCTGGCTCCCAGGTGCCAGTCTCCCACACCAACACTGTTACATGTTGCTGTCACCATCTTAGCCAGCTGGGTCACACAGACTCTTCGGACTGTCCCCTGGCACAGTGCCCTCTTCATCTTCAACACCACTTCACTGCTGGTGTAATTTCCTCCTATCTCTTGGGAGAAATGAGATTCCTTTCCTAGGAATCTCAACCCAATTCTGCCTCTTTGCACAAACTGGAGGGAAAAGCTGTCAAGATCTGGCGTTTCCTGTTGTTGGGTTTTTGTTTCCGGTTGTAGCAGATTTACCATTGTGCTCATGAAGCTTAAGATTTGAGGCCCTTTACTTGCAGGACCTACCTAAGGCTCTTTTTCTTTTTTTCTTTTTTGGTTGGTCGTGGAGGTTAAATTCTAGGCCTGGGCGCTGTCCCTCAGCTCTTCAGCTCAAGGCTGGCGCTCTACCACTTGAGCCACAGCGCCACTTCCTTCTTTTTCTGTATATGTGGTGCTGAGGAATTAAAGCCAGGGCCTCATGCATGTGAGGCAAGCACTCTACCACTGAGCCACCTTCCCAGCCCTACCTAGGCTCTTAATGTTTTGTTTTTGTTTAGAAGATCTCCTTCTTCCAAATAGTACATATTTTGGGCCCAACAAACCCATATCTGCTCTGGACTCTACCCTGAGTGCTTTGTGTAGGATCCAGTCATAGTACACTGAATGCAAGGCCTGGGATCAACTTTATTTTTGCCTGGGAAATTAGGGTTTGTAATTTTAAAAAAATTCCAACTTCCTCAGCTTAATGTGTGAGCTTGGGCAAGTCTTCTCTGATACATGTTCATATCTGTATAATTAGAATAGTCTATTTACTTCTCACCAGAAACTGAAGGGTCAAATGAGCAGATATGTGTAGAACTAAAATTCTCCACCTAGGTCACTTGCCGTAATTATAGCTAGAGAAACTTGGACCCCAAGAAAATTCCAAATGTTTCATCCACAGATCCTGGAGTTCAGGTGTTTTGGCTTCCGGCCCTAAACAACTTGGCTAGGCCAAGGGGCTTTTTGGTAAAGTACTTTGGAATAAAACTGGATGAAAATAAATCATAAGAATTATTATTGTTGTTGATTCTTTGGGCAGCAAAAAAAAAATCATGGCTGGCACTTTTCCCACTTGGAAACCATTTGGCTCATTTTACATCTATCGCAATTCTGGTGAGTTCAAGAGTACTACTTGAGCTATAGACCAGACTATGAGAGGATCTGTCCTTAGCCCTTTTCCTCTATCCCCTATCGCAGTTCTCTCCCCCCACCCCCTTCAACTTTATGGCATGTGTCTTGAAGCATTCCATAACCCCACCCTAGGCTTGTCATGAGCATAATCTCAGCTATGCAATCTTCACTTTGCAGTTCTTCCCTGGGTGGCCAGCTCCAAGCACTAGCCATATTTGAAACAACAAAAGGCCAGGCGCCAGTGGCTCACTTGTAATCCTAGCTACTCAGGAGACTGAGATCTGAGGCTCATGGTTCAAAGCCAGCCCGGCAGGAAGGTCCATGGGACTCTCATCTCCAATAAACTACCAAAAAACCAGAAGTGGCACTGTGGCTCAATGGTAGAGCACTAGCCTTGAGCTGAACTGCTGAGGGACAGCATCCAGGCCCAGAGTTCAAGCCCAATGACTGACAAGAAAAACAAACACCAGAGTATCTAGAATGTGCTAACTAGGGCTGGGAAGGTGGTTCAGTGGTGGAGCGCTTGCCTTGCATGCCTGAGGCCCTGGGTTCGATTCCTCAGTACCACATAAGCAAAAAGAAAAAAGCCGGATGTGGCGCTGTGGCTCAAGTGGAAGAGCCCTAGTCTTGAGCTGAAGAGCTGAGGGACAGCGCCAAGGCCCACAGTTCAGGCCCCATGACCAGACCCAAAAAAAAAAAAAATAGAATGTGCTAACTAATAGTTCTTGACTTTCTGACGTACAAGGAGGATTCTGTTCATCTTATTTTTATTTCTTGTACGCAGGGTATTTTAGATTACATATAGATATTATTTTTGTATGCCAGTACTAGGGCTTGAACTCAGGACATGGGCACTATCACTTACACTGGCTTTCTACCACTTGAGATACAGCTCCATTCTGGCTTTTTCCTGGCTAATTGGAAATGAGAGTCGCATGGATTTTCCTGCCCAGGCTAGCTTTGAGCTGCAATCCTTAGCCTCTTAAGTAATTTAGATATTATTTTTAGAGTTCCATATTTTAATGTGTTTTAGGAATTGTCTGTTTGTAATGTTTATTTAATGATATTAAGGTTCATTTTGGAGGGGGAGGAGCTAATTTCCCTTTTAATGAAAGTACCTATATATATGTGTTGATTTTTGTTACAGTATAACATGCAGATAGTAAAGTGTACACATTTTAGTATATATATATCTTGATGAGTTTTACATAATACATAGTATACATGTTACATCTGTATATTAAATGTAACCATTACTCAAATCAAAATGTTGAACATTTTCAGCATCTAGCAAGCTGGAGCAGCTAATAATCTCCTCTAAATATCATGAGTATTTTGAGCTCTATCACTATAAATACCTTCTGCCTAATTTTGTAGTATTCCATTGCACAAATATGCCACATTTTATCCGTTCCAATGCTAGTAGACCTTTAAGGTGTACTCATTTTTTCATTCCTTTTTTCCCCCTCCCCCTCTTTCCCTCCCTCGTTCCCTTTCTTCCCTTTCTTTTCTTCCTTTCTCCCTCCTTTTCTCTTCCCTCTCTTCCCTTCCTCCCCCTCTCCCTTCCTCCCTCCCTCCCTCCCTCCCTCCCTCCCTCCCTCCCTTCCTCCCTCCTTCCCTCCCTCCCTTCCTTCCTCCCTTCCTTCCTTCTTACCTTTTATAGTCCAGGGAGATTCACACTGGAAATCTTGGATTATAAGTGTAGGGCACTGTATCAAGTTTAGTTTTTTAGAATTGTGTATTAAGCTGCCTTGAATGTGCATAATCTCACAGACTTTCCTGCCTGGTCTCTCTTTGAGCCACAATCCTCAAAACTCAGACTCCTAAGTAGCTAGGATTTTTTTTTTTTTTTTTTGGGTCCAGTCGTGGGGCCTGAACTCTGGGCCTGGGCACTGTCCCTCAGCTCTTCAGCTCAAGGCTAGTGCTCTACCACTTGAGCCACAGTGCTACTTCTGGCTTTTTTCTTTTTGCTTATGTGGTGCTGGGGAATTGAACCCAGGGCCTCAGGCATGCAAGGCAAGCGCTCTACCACTGAGCCACCTTCCCAGCCCAGTAGCTAGGATTATAGGCATTAGCCACTGGTGCCTGGCAATGGTTATTTTTGAGATAGGGTCTTGTTTCTTTTTTTTCTTTTTTTGAGTCCAGTCGTGGGGCCTGAACTATGGGCCTGGGCGCTGTCCCTCACTCTTCAGCTCAAAGCTAGTGCTCTACCACTTGAGCCACAGCGCCACTTCTGGCTTTTTTCTTTTTGCTTATGTGGTACTGAGGAATCGAACCCAGGGCCTCATGCATGCAAGGCAAGCGCTGTACCACTGAGCCACCTTCCCAGCTCCAGGGTCTTTTTTTCTTGCTTGTTGCAGTGCTTGAACCTCTATTCACCCATTTTAGGCTTCCTATCTTATCTGGTATGACAGCCACTGTATCTACCTTCCTTCCATAGAGATGGATCTTGTGAACTTTTATGCCTATGTGGGCCTAGAACCTCACAATCTCAATTTCCTGTACAGTTTATGCCAGATGTGCCTAGTTAAGTCTAAATGAAGACAACCAAAATAAAATTGCAAATCCCATTCTCTACATTTTAAGTACTCCATTGCTATATGTGCCTAATGGCTTCCTTATTAGATAGTAGAGATATAAATGTTACTAGCATCACAGGCAGTTCTATCACACTGATGCTATAGAGAATATTTAAAGTTGATGACATTTATTTATTTATGCGAGTACTGGAACTTGAACTCAGGACCTCTCACTTTTTTTG